CTCCTAACTTGGATTCCGATTCACTCAAGAAGTGTCAGTAACAGCCCACCACAGACGTCTCACCTCCACTCATGGGTAGCTGAGCCACGCTGGAAGTTCTTCCCCTCAGAGCACCTCCTACACAGCACCAGAACAGCAATAGGCACACTGCCTGAAAGTTCTGCTGCATCCAGAAAATCCCAGGCTGCTTCACTCGGCTAACCAGGCGAGTAAGAGCCCCATAGAGCTCACAGCCAGCATCAGTCTGAGAGGCCATGAGGAGCATCAGCCCAACGTGCCTCTGTGGTAGGGTGAGGCTTGTGGTAAAGAACTCACTGCAAAGTCCAGGAAGAACTGTGGCAGTTACATAATCTTCTGTCAACTTGTGAAGGGGTAGAGTCTAGCCTGTCAATCAGGTTTCAGCTTGATGACCCCATTTGGAGGCACAGAGATGAATGGGTACTGGAGGCCAGATACATTCTCTCTGCCACACGTTCCTGTTGACAAGTCACATGGAGCTATGCTGATGGCAGCCAGAGCCCTGGAGCTGGAGGAGCCACATGGAGACCCATGCCAGTGCTAAGAGGTGGTGCTTCCACCGCCACTGGATCCATAAGACTCTGCACCCACTGGCCTGTGATCTTCCTGCATTCAGCATCATTGCATGGCTGTCAGTCTAAAGAGGAATTGATGGACTAGTATCGATTTAAGGGGTAATATCGAACTTACAAACTTGATCTGGAGTCAGCTGGGATGCTTTCTTAATGTACAGTTGCTTTTTTTATATAAAACTTTTTCTTGTACCTATGAGTATCTCTGGGTTTGTTTCTCTAGGCAATCCAGACTAACACAGGAATTCAACCATGGAGTTGGTGTTTTCTACTTCTAGGCCTTTTATTGAATAATTGAGAGCTCTTTAGGCTTCTGGGCACTAGAGCCTTATTGATGACCATAAATAACACCGTCGACTTTCAAGCAGCAAGCATTTAATCTCCTCATCCCCCAACTCCATTCATGACTGCTCTCATTTGGCATCTCCTCTGTAGGAAAGAGATACCAAAGGCCACAAACATGGAGGACCTAGAAGCCTTGAGACAAATCCTGGTATGTCACTCCATCACTTTCTAACCCGGGCAAACTACCTAACCTTTCTGACTCTGTGTCCTCCTGTGTCAGAGAGAAAGAGCTGCCTCACAATGGTTGCAGAGTGAACATGTTCAGACATAGCCTAGGACCTGGCATGCAGTTATTCCCTAAGTATTTAGATACATGCTACACCCCCCTGACAATCCCCCCACCCCAAAACCCTTCAGCTTTTCTAACTGAGGACTCTTGAAGCAGCTCACCATGCAAATACAAAGAAGTTAAAAGCAATTTCTCAAAGAACCTAACAGCAACATAGCAAGACAGCAGCGTACCTAGAGCCCATTTACCCAAACACCTACTGCCACTGAATCGATTCTACCACATAGCAACCCTCTATGGGGCTAAGAGGCTGCAAACCTTTAAGGGAGCAGAGAGCAACATCTTTCTCCAGAGGCCAGTGGGTTTGAATTGCCGACCTTGGGCTCAGCAAACCACCACTTACCCAGATAGCAGGGAGTACAATGAGTCTTCATCACCCATCTGCCGATCATACCACAGTGGGCCGTGTGCTCAGACTGGGAAAACTAGGCCACACGTGTTTAAAGAAACAGCAGGGCTGACCTGGGGCAGATTTCAGCAGAGCTTCTTAGATGCAGCGGGACTAGGAAGAAAGGCGTAAGGACCCCGCGTCAATCAGGAAGGTGGCACCAGGCTGGGCAGCACTTTTTCCTATCATGGAGTCACCGCGAGTTAGAGGTGACCAGACATCATCTGACATCTAAGTTGGAGCCAGACAACAGATGGGGTCTTTACTGTAAGTCAGCGTGGGTGATGCGAGAGCAGAGGTCAACTATAGCCTACTTCCTTTTGAAAGGAGCGGTTTTCTCCATTCCTTGTTCTCCTGACAATAGTGCCCCCCCCCTCCACCTCCACCTCACTAACCAGGGATCATCTCATGCTGTTCAAACTCAGGACTGAAGCCATTTTTAACATTTTTTCAATTTAAAACTATTTCGCTAGGAACATCCCCTGTGCTTGTCTTCATAGTTGATCAAATATTAAAGTGCCCTCATGTCCAAACTCCTGCTTTCTACAAACTGCTGAACCAGCATGACACTTCCCAGCATTGCTTTCTAAAACAACAGTGGCCCTTTCAAGACCCACTGGCCGAAGGCAATGGGGAGGACCCAGCCCCTAACAAACTTGAGTTATCTGAAGGAGAAAAAACATAGTTATGTCTGAATGGATAATTCGTGATTCAGACAGCCCAGCATTTAATTGGTATTAACCACTCTACTAAAGATCTATTTAATGCACTTAGGTAAGATTTTTCATTCTCATGAAATTGGATCTTTGGTTCAAAATTTAATCTCCTGCCAAGGACTCTGCTCTATTTAGGTGACGTAATGGTGAGGTAGGCTCTTAACATTTCATTGCCAGGAATACAAATGAAATTCATCAGATTATTTGCCAAATGATGTTTCATCAGCAGGGCTGAGGCCTGGCCTAAGTGGACTGTCAAAGAACAAAAACCAAGGGGTATTATAACTATATTTTCCAGCTGAATCTTCCCCAGCACTCAAACTCAGCCATGAAAAAAAACACTATATATATATATATATATATTTTTAAAGCCCTAATAGAGCTTATCAGTTTATAGGACCTTCATATGGAAGAAATAAGCAAGACCTAAAAGGCCAGCTCTTTTGGCAAGTCAAAATATTGACACAGATGAAAAATACATGCTACATACGACTGGTACTACACCATGATATACCTGTAGAATCCTGTCACTGTTGTTCCTTTAACATTAGGGATTATGGAAAAGCCAAGCGGAGTTGGTAATTTTACAGAATATAAATTAGCAAATAAACTTCTTTCTCTTACTGAGTTTTTTTTCTTTAAGTCTAAGTAGAATGGACTTACTGACCTATCTGAAACTACTCTTAAAATCTGTTCAATATGGGGGGGAGGGGATTAAAAAGAGCTGATACCAGGGGCTCAGTAGAAAGTAACTGTCAGAAAAGGAGGAAGGCAACATATGTACAAATATGCCTGAGACAACTGACGTATGGATCGTAATAAGAGCTGCAAGAGCCCCCAATAAAATGATCTTTTAATTTTAAAAAATCTGTTCAATGTTCAGATTCATAATAGTCAAATAGGTAAGCAATATGAAATGACCCTGTGGTCAAGGTTTTCGAAAACAGCCTAGATTGATAAGCTCACAATGACAGAAGGTGTGCAAACATTTTTGCAAGCCTTGCTGCCAAAGATGAAGGGAATGAGCATCAGAATGCCAGCACAGCAGAGCAGGCTTCTTCAGCAAGGACTTACTGGGCTCCTCCTACGTGCTAGGCGTTATTTTACATGTTCGGTATGTGTCACTGCTTAAAGCATACAAAAGGAAAAGAAGCCTGTCCTCACTGAGTTTATACAATAGGGAAAAGGACATGGGATGTAGTCAATTAATATGAACCTTCTAGCCACAACTCCTTGTGAGGGATTATAATCTTAGACTACAGTACATACCTATGCCTTTGATCCCATTTTGGAGGTTTGTTGTGGTTACATAATTTCAAATCAAAATCAGTTTGGCCTGATAGTGCTTCCTTGTGGGCATGACCTCCTCATGAGGAGGGTCTTGGGAACATCCCCCTCTCTGCCTTCATCTTCCTACTGGTGAGCCACGATGCTTCCACCGTCAGCGGATCCACAAGACTTTTCACCCACGGACCTGTGCTCTTCCCGCATTCTGCGTGTGGCTGCATGAGTCTGAGGAGGGGCACGAAGACTCAGAGGGGCAGCCCGGAGTCTATGACGTACTTTCTCATGTGGCCCAAGACTTGGGGATGTGAGACAGAGTGACAGGTAGGCTGACTTCCTGGCCCATGAAGGTATGTGCCAAGGGAAGATGCTTAGCAGGTGAGGCCTGGAAAAGGGCTTGGTTGCCGACTGACGAGAGGTGTTTCTGTGGACTGAATCCTTACTGTTGACTGATCCTGACGTGCGTGGTAACCTGTTACCTCCCATTAAACACCTTTAATCATGAGTATTGTCTGAATTCTGGGTGGCCACTGCAACCAGTATGACAAGCTAAATGAAAAAGTAGATTGTGTTGTTTGGGACAACACAGGATATAAGATCATCTTAAATAAGGTGCCACTGGTGGCATACTGGTTATGCATTGGGCTGCTAATTGCAAGGTCAGCAGTTCAAAAACACCAGCTGCTCTGTGGGACAAAGATGGGGTTTTCTACTCCTGTAAAGAGTGACAGTCTCAAAAACCCACAGGGGAAGTTCTACCCTGTCCCATAGGGTCACTGTGGGTCAGCATCCACTCAGTGGCGGTCAGTTTGATTTGAGATAAGTGTATAAGTTGGAAAGTCATAAGTAAAATTAAACAAAAAAAAAAGAGTAATTTTAGGAATGAGTGAGGACCAGTCTTTTCTGGAAATTTTCCAAAACCATAGAAGGGAAAAACAAATATCCTGGTTGGAAAGTCCCAAAGTGACATAGAAAATATTTCTGGTTCTTTAATATTCATGGGATTTTCAGGCAAGAAACTAAAGGCATTTTAAAAATACCATAGTGAAGTTGAAAGCTAGATGTGCCACTTTCATACAACGGGCACTGCTGGAGGGAATGGAGCCTGTGTTTGCTGAGGCAGAACCACGGGCAAAGAGCAGTCATCGAACCCTTCCCGTTCTAGGAAGCGCCGCCGTCCTGGCTATGGGACCAACCACAGTTGCCTCAGGGAGTCACCTGCTGAGGAAAGTCTGTAGGGACAGACAACGCCGAAGGGAAACTCAGTCAGCTTTTCAGATTTATCTCAATTTCCTATTTTAAAATGTGGCACCCTGTTCTTTCTAACTTTGTGAAAGACATAGGGCACGCTCGTTATCAAAGAAAACATCCACATTTCCAGCTCCGCCTCAATTGTTCCAGATGCACGCACGTTTAATGGAGATCACTAGACAAAGGTTTTTTACACCGTTATCAGAAGCTGACCCTAAGACTACTGAGGAGATGTTTCCCCCCCTTTGATTGAAATTCAAATTCCATTGCAACAAGAAAAAAGCAACCCCAACAATTAATGCCTAGCTTTAGGCTCAAGATTTCCAGATTCAAAAATGAAAACAAGATAAATGATGTTCTCCCCCCCCTCCCCCCCAGCAAACTCCATTTTCAGGAAAATGGCCAGCGGCAGAAAGTCCAGGCTATAGGATCAGAAAAAGGAGTGACTGTCCCATACGACACTTCCAGGGTGACGACTGTGGCAGCAGCCCTTTCCCGAGGAGATGCTATCCTTAGGCTGTGAGCATCACCCAGAAGCCTAACAGCCCTGGATTAAGAACATCTGGAGAGTGTTCAGACGGCGCACAGTTCTGTTTCTTCCGGCTGTTGAGGCTTCAATGGTGCCTCTCCGTGGCATCGGTCATATCCCACCCCCCTTCTTTCACTAATCTCTTTTCACATCCAAAAGTGAACATAAAGTGCAAGTGAGCTCCAACCCTCCCCTGTCCGTCACGCTTGCATCTTGACAGCCAGTGGTGCCAAAATCTATCAGCAAGGTTGTCTGCTGGAGTTAGCAAAGTATTTCTGGAGTTAGCAAAAAAGTTGGCAAAGACGGTGTCTGAAGGCCAATGAAGTCTTGGCGAGAAGACACCAAGTACCACACACAAGACAGGGGTGTGAACCGTGGGAGGCATTCCAGCAGCTGGGAGAGGTTCTCGTCATGAGTTACGAGAGAGGCCATCTTTGGATCGGCTCTTCCGAAGAGCTCAGGAACTATCACAACAATGAACGATGTCAGCAGATTTCCGCGCCAGTCAGTCCTCAGCAAGGGCGGATTCCGCTGTCCCTGGGCACAGAAAAAAAGAGAGTCTATCGTCAGAACCATGGGGTTCATTTCTTTCTTTCTCTCACACACACACTCCTCCTCTCAGTCGATTGTAACACCTGGCAACTTCACGTATTTCAGAGTACACCTGTGCTCCAAAGGGTTGCCGATGGCTGTTTTTTTGCCCCCTGCTCCCCCAATAAACAGACTGCCAAGCCTTTCTTCTGAAGCATCTTGGTATAGCTGTGAGTTGCCAACTTTTGGTTAGCAGCCGAGCTCATCAACCATTGGTAACACCTACGAACTCAAGTCATAAAACTGCCTCCAGTCAATATGTCCTCTCTTGTAGCACACACTTGGGCAGAGTGCCTTCCAACAAGGCTTTCTTTCCACAACGTGTTCACTGCGGGGTTTGATGGGCATCCACTCTGAATGGGTCGTAGGGTTATGCAATGCTACCTATGTTTCCTTACTGCAGGATTTGATTTGATGTGTCAATGACTACTGGGATGCTTCAAGAAATGGACACGCTGGGCAGCATTTCCCGCTTTTTTGTGGACCAGGAATTTACCGCCTCCCAAACCCACTTTGCCAGGACTAGTGCGTCCAGGAAACATATCTTGAGAAATGCTGTCTTACAACAATCTGGAGGATCCGGAATGGTATTAAATCCCATGCCGCTTATTCAGTCTCTATTACATGGGGCCCGTTTTTATATTGTGGCTTGTAGGCCCATACCAATATAATAATACACTTAAAACCCGCCTAGTAATAAAAACCATCGTCACTGGGCTCTACTCTATTTCCTTTGTAACCTGTGCCCAAATCATAGGTAACATTTCATGTAACCCTGCATCGCTCAACACTCATGATTAAAAGGTAACTAATCTTGAATAATACTCATGGTTTGGATTGATCACAGGTCATAGAAAAACACTGAACACATACTGGTTAAGTTCTTGAACTTCTTTTTGGCTTCTGCCCTTTCTTCAGCATCAAAGTACCAAACCGTCATGGCGTATCTGTGAAAGATAAGCAGGCATAAGAGGTAGAGAAATCCTGAAAAGAGAGGGCTAACTCTGGAAACTATGTATCTTACATCAAAATCATCTGCAAAGCCAACATTGAAAGGTTTCCCTATTATTAGGGATTAAATTTTAACTTAAAATATACTTCTCCGCTTTCGATTCCATTTCAGTATAATAATGGGCTTAAAGAATGCCAAGTATGTACCAGGCATTATTGGGAACGCTGGGAATTCGGAGGCTTGAGCTGATCTTCCTCAAGGAGCCCAGGCTCTCATCAGGAGAGACAGCAATTCAGCAAACACTGCAACTAGCTCAACACAGAAAGGATAAAACCCGCTGCTGTCCAGCTGATTCTGCCTCGTTAGCCACCTTGTAAGGACCGGCCAGAACTGCCCATGTCCTTTCTGTAAACTAGGAGCTGGGCTGCTTACCACGTGGTCATGGCTCAAATCCACCGGTGGCTCCGTGGGAGAAAGAGGAGCCTGCTGCCGGAGGGATTCACAACCTTGGAAGCCTGAACGGGGTTGCTCTGAGCAGGAATCAACTCAACAGATGGATTAAATCTCGACGGCAATATGCTGCAACATCTTTCCATCGAAGAGCGGCTGACAGATTCAAACTGCTGACCTTTCTGTCAAGGAGCCAAGAAGTTGAACTACTTTGCCACCAGAGTTCCCATAGAAAGGGATAAACCTCAAACCAAACTCACTGCCACTAGTCAATTCCAACCCACAGAGACCCTGCAGGCCAGGGTCGAATTGCCCCTTAGGGGTTCCCGAGACTAACTCTTTATGGGAATAGGAAGTCTCACCTGTCTCCCACACAGAAAGGACTAGGAAGTGAGATATTCTGCTAATGATTGGGAGACTAAAGATGATCGGGACTCGAGAGGCGTAGAGAGGAGGAGGTAAACTCGGTGAAGCTTTGCAGAAGCTTACTCAGATCACAGGACATTTTAAAAGACTGGCCCTTTTTCTTTAGCTTCTGCCCATTGGGGCAAGGAAGCAATTGAATAACAATGTCCTTAAGTACTCTATTGCAGTCACATTAATTGGATTCCGTCATGTGACAGGAGCCATTTGATGACTGAGCTTCCAAAAAGTTTCTTTTTATAAGTATTGTCAGAAATTGAGATTTCTATTAGCATTAGCTCTTTTTCCCCCCCAAGAGCTGTCCACCAACATTTACTGTTGTTGTTTTTTTTCCTACGAAGTCACAAGTCACTGTGGATCAAGGAAAAACCAAGTAATTCTACGACACGCGACAGGATCCAGGTACCATGCCCCCTGGAACAAGCCACAAGGTAACTAGTTAGGCAACAGAACTAGTTACTGGTTTCTAGTTTGACATTTAACATGCAACTTTGTGTTTGCGGTTCAGATATGTAACTTTAACTTAGTCGGGTTGATACTCTGAAAACCATGCATGTGCTAGAGAAAGTGTATGATTTAAAAGGCTAACTGTTGGGACATGGAGCCAGTGATCCTATGGCAATGTTAAGCCAAGGAAAGGTCAAAAGAGTGTGTGTGGGGGGGAGTCCTTTCTTTTCTCAAGATGTAGTCTCCTCCCACCTCTTAAGGCAGGCAGAATTCTGGATTTGCGCTGTGTGACACCCCACATTCTTAAAGGCTAGCTCAGCATTAGATTGAAAAAGAAGAGAAACACAGAGAATATTGAATCCAATCCGCCCACCTAACAAAGGGGTTGATGAATGGGGTTACTTCAATGGACACGGCTTTATATGTCAGAGAATATGTTTCCCTTTGAATATTTAACAACTTCTCACAGAGTTCTGAGCAGCTTTGGGGTGTGGTGGGTCCCCTATATCCACAGAAACTGGAGTTTGTCCAGCAAACTCCTCCAGAAAATAGTGTGTGACCCGCGGCTCTTACCTGGTTGCGTAAGAAGGCTGAACTTCATGTGGGTTCCGGCGGTCTGACCAGAAGAAGAGGAGTCTGTCAAAGATGGGCTCTATGTCAGCTATGAAAGATTTTCCTTCTGGAAATATCCGTAGGATCCCACCGTGCAGCTGAGAGCCACAAAGAAAGCAAGTTAGGTTCTGGTCGCAGACCTAAGTCTACTGCTAACAATACTTCATCCTCTTCTAGGCACAGAAACTGTCATCGTCCAAGCTTTATTCCCAGCCCGCATGACCCACAAACTTGTACTTCAACCTCATGCTTTATACCAGATTTTATTTCACCAGTTTGTGAAATAAAGTTTTTCTGCAAACCTAGGTAGAACCATCTCCTTATCCCGGCCCCCGCCCCCAAAGGATGACACAAAATGGAGTAAATTAAGTACCAAACAAACAAAACCCCCAACTCACTGCCATTGAGTCAAAACTGATGCATAGTGACCCCCTGTGGGTTTCCTAGGCTGTAACTGTCTCAGAGGGTAGAAAGCCCAGCGTTTCTCCCTGGCTGAACTACCAGGACTTGATATTCGACTCTTTTTGACCTAAAAAAAATACCTTTTATGACATCCATCTCTCTTCCTCAAACTGCCTTTTTACATACCTTGTCTGCCCTAGTGGTTAAACCACAGCGAAGACAGAATTCAGGCCTCACCTAGCCACTGCTTCCCCATGTCACTTATTTGTTCAAGGACTTCACAGGTCACAACTTATTGACACCGGCCTGATGAGTGCAGTCCCTCGCCCAGACCCGCCCTCGCAGTGCTTGAAAGGAACCTCGGGATGTGTTCCAGCCATGTTACCAAACAGGGAGAAGAGAGCATTTGTCACCGATTCGCTGGTCTCCCAGGTTTCGGTTTTCTGAGCCCAGATAAAGCACCACTGCTTTCTGACAGCCAGTGCCGGGCTTCACTAGCCGGAAGCAGAGATGCAAAAGGTTCAAAAGTCAAACAAGCTTGAAAAGTTCTCTGACTTCCCAGATTCCTAAATCATTCTGAGCTTCCGAGAGCAAACAAAGTCCACACAGATGTCTGTAAGCGTGGAACCAGGACTACACACCGCTCTCTTCATGTTCCGAAGGCAGAAATAAGTCCCAAGCCGTTGGCATTCGCAAACCATAGCAAGCCACTGCAAGCGGCCGCGAACCAGAGGGGTCGCCATCAGAGAGGCCTGTGGGATCCCTCCCTTGGGGATAGCGGTATGTCCCGCAGTTCTGTTTTTGTGGAATTCTCTCCGTGCTGCTGATGGGAGGGAAGAACAGTCTATGCTTCATTAAAAGGCCTATCAACTCTGAATTAGACTAAAAAAAAAATTTAAAAAAAGACCACTGTTTCTAAAATAATATTCAATTACCCTCTCTTTTTCAACTACCCTTCCCTTACACGACTACTCCCAAACACATCGAATCACAGAGATGATTTTCATCTCACCGAATTCCTTAGGAGGACAAAGAAAAGTAAAACACACAATTAGGAATGGTTGATTAGTGGGAGATGGGATTACCTTCAACTCAAAACTCTTTATTACCTTAATTGTTAGCTGGTGGTGTAGTGGTTACACCTTGAGCTGCTAGCCACAAGGTCAGCAGTTCAGAGCCACCAGCTGCCCCTCAAGAGAAAGAGGAGGCTTTCTACTCCTCCCATGAACACATACTGTTGGAAACCCACAGGGGCGGTTCCACGCTGTCCCAGAGGGTCACTAAGAGTCAGAATCAACTCGATGGCAGGGAGTTCTTTGGTAACCTCACACTCCATCCCCATTGCGTCAAAGTACCTTAGCATCCCAATTCTTGTTCAGATAGTAGATGCAGGTGATACAGCGGCCGTCACCGTTGGGGTTGTCCACATGGCGAACATAACCTGTTCCATTGCCCGGGTAGCAAGCCACCATCGCCTAAGAAGAAATCCCAAGAAAGCTGGTGAGCAAAGCTGGGGCCATCTGCTCCCACTGGTCAGCATCTACACCCTGGTACATGCAGCCTCCTCGGGCACTCTCCACCACATACAAGCAGCTGCTGGCATCTGCACTGCAATTCTTTAAATTTGGGCTCTCCAGTATAAATGGTTAACAATAAGGCCATAGGTCATGGCTCACTCACCCTGAGGAGGAAAGTGGTTAGATGATTACCCTACAGCTCCAGAACTGTCTAGACAGTCTATTAAGTCAGTCTACTGCATCAAGGGGCGCTGGTGGTACAGAGAGGTGGTGTGCATTAGGCTGCTAGCTGCACGGCCAGCAGCTTGAACTGCCCAGCTGCTTCGTGGGAGAAAGGTGAGGCTTTCTACTTCCATAAAGAGTTACAGTCTTGGGAAACCCACAGGGGCAGTTCTACCCTGCCCTATAGGTCCCTAGGAGCCGAAGGACCCGATGGCAGCAAGTTTGAGTAAGAATAAACGCAGTAGATGTGGTTGCCTGGGGTTTGGGGGGTTTTCTCTCCCCTTTTAAATGACCTCAACTCCATCCTCATTAGATTACCTGGCCTCTCTTCAATCTTCCTTCATGAAAAATCAGAGTCCAGGGTTATAAACTAATAAAAAGGTGTATTGTGTAGTCCAGTGGATTGTCTCTTGTGTGGTACTCTCAGTGCTGTACAGGGTTTTCAATGGCGGGTTTTCCCCAAGGGTTTTCTTTCCTCAAGTGCCTCGGGGTAGACTCCAACTTCCAACCTCACAGTTACTTAGAATGCCCCTGGTGATTCTTAGTCATATTAAAATTTGAACCCAGTATTCTTAGAACAAAGGCTTAAGATTCTTGCATTTGCAAAGGGATAGAAATAATCGAGGACGAAAAAGTCAGGCTTACTTAATGGAATACCTTAGACCAGCAGTTCTCAACCTATGGGTCAAGACCCCTTTGGGGGTCGAATGACCTTTCACAGGGATCACCTAAGACCATGGAAAGCATATATTTCCAATAGTCTTCAGAACTGCGACACCACTCCTCTGTCGGTCTCCAAGTGGGTCTGCCCCCGTGCAGATACACCCACATCTGGATACCTGGAGTGAAGACTGTTACCCATGCTACACCAGGCTTCCAGAAAAAATTTCATGTATTTTTAATTAGAAATACATATTTCACTATATAATTACAAATTGTTTTTGTGATTCATCACACTATGCTTTAGTGATGTTCATTTTGTAACAATGAAAATACATCCTGCATATCAGATAGTTACACGACGATTCATAACAGTAGCAAATTTTCAGTTATGAAGTAGCAACGAAAATAATGTTCCGGTTGGGGGTCACCCCATGAGGAAGTGTATGAAAGGGTCACGGCATGAGGAAGGTGGAGAACCACTGGATCAGACAGGAGGAGGAAGAGGGAAGGGTCCTGAGGAAGCCTCGCCCTCACTTGTTAGCAGGAGACAACACAACACATCCCTTTCATGAGGAAAACTACAAACACACCCTCGAACACAGTTCTCAATGCCTGTCGTCCTGACTATCGTCACGTCAGGTAATGACTCGCAGTTCTCTTCCTTTCCGTAAGTGCTACCTGTACTACCTGGTGGAGAAGCAAAACAGAAAGTCAGACCAAAAACCCATGGCAGATGATGCTTAGAGGGCCACTCACCTCTCTAATTGCCCCATGGGAAACTTATGGTAGAAAGTGGAAAAACTAATAATAAAGTGGAAAAACACAGACATATTCTTAATATTTCTATAGGGATATATAAGAGCCGTGGTGGCTTAGTGGGAGCACGCTGGGCTCCCACGGGTCAGCAATTCCAACCACCAGCTGCTGCTCAGAGAAAGAAGGCTTTCTGTCCCAGTGATGGGTTGCAGTCTAAGAGGCCCCCAAGAGCAGTCCTGCCCTGTCTAGGGTCAACGAGCCAGCAGTGCGTTTGGGGATTTTTGGTATCTTCAAACATGTATGTAGGGAAAGCCACCTGACTGGATGAATCATCACAGACCAGAAGCAAGGAGGCTCCAGAGTCTGACCACCCAGAGCCCTTTCAAATAAGGACATAGTCGGGGGTCCCAGCTAACAAGGGACAACCACCTTTAAAGCCAAAACAAAACAGCCCTGAGGCTCAACAGCCCGTGCCAGACATATAAGAGGGGCCTGCCAGCTCTGGAGGAATCTCCCTGCTTTCGTCCTGGCAGTCGTGTAGACCCACTGGGGGCCGGACCCCAGTGTATGCAGGCTTTACTCCTCAACAAACCTGCTTCTTGTTCAGCCTACGTTGTCCGGAGAAGCCTTGGACAAGGGGTCATTGTACCCTACTGGAGATCAGGTCACGCAGCATGATAAATGATAGAACTACTGCAGGGTTACAATTACAAATGACCGATCAGGACCATGCCATACGGATGCCAAAGTAGCTCAGGTACTCCGCTTTAAAGCTCTAAGTCACCCCAGTGGTGGTGTGAAGACGGGAACGAGACGTTCAAAGCTTTGGCCGTGTTACAAACCAGAATTCACAAGGCTGCCCGGTAACTTGGCGTTACAATCTTCTAAATCACCATGTCCCTACACGTCAGACCTCATACAGCACGCAGGAGTCACACGAGCCCTGTGGACACCTAAGATGTCAACGGCCTCTTAGAGCTGAAGTTGGGCTATTGACGTGGACACTACAAGAAGGTGGAATTTTGAGCCTGTAGCAACCAAGATTTAACAAACGATGATACCGTTGAGATTCCTTGGGCAGGAAATCCGAAAGAAATTCACGTCGAAGCCTGGTTTGTGATCCAAGTGAGTTTTTAGAAAAGATAGAAGTTTCAGGTTTTTCAGTTAACTGAACACGGTAACACACACACACACACACACACACACACACACACACCCGCGCCCCCACCCCCCACCCCCGCATACACACAGGGCGACGGAGGCCGGAGAGAGAGCACAGACAGCCGAGTGGAAGGCAAAGGAGCAGCTGGGGTCTGGGGTTGGGGTGAGGGAGTAAAGAGGGCAGTGGTCTTCAAGTTGCAGTTTTTAGGACCTTCTGCTGGGAGGCATGGTTGATGGTACTGGTTGACCCCATTGGCTGAATTAGGCCCACCTGGCCTAGATTGAGCCAATCCAGGTGTACCAGCCCCCTCGGTGTACCGCCCCCCATCTGGCTTCAGGGCTTGAATTGGCATATGCCTGGTGGACACTCTGGTCCCTGTTCTGCTACCTAACAGTAGCATGGCAAAGGATGGCTTGAGGAGAGGTGACTGGTAGCAGACAAACATGAGGGAGGGGCATAACTGGAAAGGAAGGGATAAAGGAAGTCCCCTATAATAACTAAGGAATTAGTTCCCTCTGGAAGCAGCTATTAGGATTAGGGAAGCCACTACTGAGCCAATAATGAGAGTCACTTAAGCCACAAACAATTACAGGCTGGGTTCCCCACCACCTCAGCCATCCCCACTGTGACGCTCTGAAAAGAAAAAGGTCCCATCAGTACAAGATAACCTCATATTCTTGACTTGGTTCTACTTGGAGGAAAACAGCGGTCTGGATGCCTGCCATCCAGTTCACGCTGCAACTAATTGTGTAATCTCAGGCTCAGTTTCTTTCCCATAAAGAAGGCTCAGTTTCTTTCCTATAAAGATCCAAGAAGACCTAAGACCTAGTTTAATCATCCAACTCCAGCAAAAGGCAAGAGAGCTCTTCAGAGCATTATAAAGTGCTGTCTGCTCCAGGTCGCAGCCTGTGAAAACCTACTGCAAAAAATAAATAAAACAGCTCAGTGCCATCGAGGCAATTCTAACCCAGAGCGACTCTATAAGGCAGGCTCCTCTTTACAGGAGTAGAAAGTCTCATCTTTCACCTGTGCAGTAGCTGGTGGTTTTGAACTGCTGATCTTGTGGTTAGGAGCCCAACATGTAAACCCACTGTGCCACAGGGCTCCTGGAAAGAAAGAATGAATAAAAACGGATACAACCTAAGAGAAGAACATCTTTTGCTAATTGCTACATATTCCAGGGAGTTTTCTATCAGGAACCAAACCTACTGCCATTTGGTGGAGTTGAAATCAACTCGATGCTAGTGAGTGTGTGAGTTTTTGTTTTGTTTTGTTTTGTTTGAGTGAACTACAGACAGAACTGCCCCCATAGGGGTCCAAGGTTTTTTTAACTCCTTAAGGAAGCAGACTGCCACTGCCACACCTTGTGGCCCCTGAGGGCTCTTTTCTATTAGGACAAAACCCCTAACTGCCAGCAAAGTATCTGATAACCTTAAGGGAGAAGAACAGATCATTTTTCTAGCCACAGTGCATATTCGCCCTCTCCTGAATCCTGAAGCCATGTGCGTCAAGTTTGGAACAATGGAAGGAAATCATTGTGAGCCTCAGTGGGTCTCTTGAAACTGCACACAGCCAATTTAATCAGTGCATTCTCTGGATCTGGACCATTGCCACAGATGGGGCTTGGCTTGGGCACATTCCCAGCTATGCTGGTCGCAGCCATGGCCAAACACACACACACCACCAAAGTGAAGGATGCGCTGAAAATCAAGCTTCCCTTCAGTTACTACCCACTCGCTCCCACGCCAATTTGTGCTCGGGCAGGAACAAACTCCGGAAACAGACCCGTTGAGCCGAGTCACTATCTGAGCCTCATCAAGCCGGAGGAGGCAATTGGAGTGTATGAAGGAGGAGAGGCTTCGGAACAATCACAACACAGACAGAGCGGTATTATCATGTGGCAGACATGCCAAACGACAACACGGACATAGATCAGATGTCTTCGGTGTAGGTTTTTCATTTGCCAAAACTTCCTGGTGAGATGAATCGACATTTACAGAATTTTAATAACCCACTAGTGTGGATCGACAACAGCACCTACAGATTCTGACTCACGGCCATGATTAAGTGGTTTGCTGCTAAGTGAAATATTCATCCAGTGGCTCCATGGGAGGAAGATCTGGGTGCTCTGCTCTCACAGAGACTGCACCCCAAG